ACCCAGCATGTCCTCCACCTCGCCGCGTGATCTGAGTATCCTGCTCCACAACCGCCTTCGCCATCTTCCACAACATCCACGTCTGACACGATATCAACACCAGCACGAGTAAAAGGACGATGAGAATGGCGAATGCGATGAAGAGGAAAAGGACGGTTTCGTCGTCTCGAGGAGGAGGACCGGAAGGAGCGAAGCTCTTGCTACCCATGTTCGCTGGATTGTAGGTTTGCTTGCCTTACGATGCTGTCGAATGATGACGAGGATGACGATGATGATGCGAGAAGGACAAGAGGTAGCCAAGGAGAACCATTGATTAAATGAGGTGCCTGGCTCGGGACTTTAGCAAACACCGATGATGGGTTGGGCGCGGACCGATTTGAGGGCAACGTAACGCTGTTGCAGATCTGTTTCATGGATACGAGGACAGATCGGGAAGATCCATGCTGACGGTTCGCGTTCACTCGGGTCCACGCCAAGGTCTAGACCAATCACGGAAGCAAGGATGCGAAGCAAGGGAGGGTTTGGAAGACTGATGGTATTGCTACTGTTATTGATGAACAAGATAATGAGAAATCTGGTACTAGATACAAAGAGGTCATTACACTACTTCTTTTCGCCATTACCGTAACTGTAACCCAGTGACACCGTGCGCTATGCAATACAACCGCGATATCGTACCGCCGTCCTATCCTAACAAACAAAGCGATGAAGCCAAGCCGTCGAGTCGTGAGGTAGCAATGCCAGTGCCGGGTACTTTCATGACAAATGAAACAATCTGTTGCCCAAAGTGATGTGTCCAAAAAAAGTGTGAAGGAGAATAAGACAAGAAAGAAATACCGTCCTGCAGCGACAGCAACAAGATAACCTCCAAATCTTCAAACGTCGTCATGCGAATCCAGATGGCATGTCGCAGCAATCTATGCAGCAAGCGGCTCCTCTGCGTTGAGCTCATCATCCTCAACGTTCTCATCAACGCCGAAGCCGGAATCCCACTGGCGCTTGGTCGTCTTCTTCTTGCCCTTCTTTCCGATCTTGACCTTTTCGCTGACCTTGGACACCTTGCCAGTGGCGACACGGTGAAGATCAACGCCTTGAGTCTTGACTTCAATGCGCTTGAGCTTCATCTCCTGGATGGCCTGGAGAGCGTCTTGGTTGCGGCGCTTCAGGTCATCAGCAAGACGTTCGTTCTGCTCCTGAAGTTGACGTTGCGAGATGGTAAGGGCGTCGATGGTAGCACGTGTGTCCTCCTCGGCGAGGCGGAAGCGCTCCTTCATCTCTTCGATCTGAGCTTCGAGGAGAACGATGGTCTCGAGACGAGCATCACCAAGAAGACGCATCTCTGTGAGCTCGGTTGTGCGCTCCTCAATCATCTCTTCATACTCTGTGCTGCGCTTCGCAGACGCGTCTTGGAGGCTCCTGATGGTGGCTTCTTGTGTCTTGATGACAGTGTTGAGGGAGTCGACTTCAGTGGCGTGAGCGCCGACAATATTCAATAGCTCATTAGCTTCGGCCTCAACACGTCTTGAAAGGGAAAGGTTCTCCTTGCGGTAACCCTCATTCTCGCCCTTCTGGAGAGCAAGCTCATCCTCAAGGCTGTCGATCTTGCCCTTGAGAGCGGTTGTGTCCTCCAGGTAGATACGTTCCTTCTCAGTGACCTGGTCGAAGAGATCGTTGATCTCGGCTTGCTGTCGCTGGATCTGGTTGTTGAGGTCCGTGATGTTGGCCTGGAGCGACGTGATGGTAGAGTTGGTGGAGTTCTCCAGCGCGACGTACTTGTTCTTCAGGTCGTTAAGCTGAGTAGCAAGGTCGGCAACTTGAACGTCGCGATCTTGCTCAAGCTGGTCCCGGGCGTCTGTCATGTCGGCCAGATTGTTCTCCAGTGTCGCAATATCGCTCTCGAGACCAATGATCTGCTGTTCCAGCTGGGTGATGGTCTTCTCCTTCGTCTGACGGAGCTGGGACTCAGCAGCAAGCTGCTCGTTGAGATCCTGCTCGCGCTCATCGGCCTCTTCTGAAAGGTCAGCAATGGCGTTCTCCTTCTCCTGCTGGAGTTGGAACAGCTTGAGCCGCAGCTCATTAGCCTGGAGACCAGTGTCGTGAAGACGAGTGTTGAGATCTTCGATCTTGTCATTCGCCTCGTCGAGATCAGCTTCAGTCTTCTCGCGCTGAGCCCGCTCGGAAGCTAGGTTCTCGCGGGTGTCGGCAAGCTGCTCCTTGAGTTCAGTGATGGTCTCGTTCAGGTTCTCGATGGTGTTGGCGTGCTGGTACACCTGCTCGATCTGCTCATCACGCTCGCCTTCGGCCGACTCGCGGGCGGCAGTCTGGGCAGCTAGACGCTCCCTCAGTGTAGCCATGTCGGTGGTGATGTTATCAACATCGGTCTCCATGCGTGTGATGCTGTCCTCCAGCTCCTCGATGTAGGTGTTCTTTTGTGTGACATCAGCCTCCGCGGCATCGCGACCCTCCTGCTCGATACCGAGTTCGGTCTCCAGAGCTTGAATGCGCTCGCTGTATTCCTGTTCCATGCGAGCGATCGTCTCGTGGTGGGTCGTCTCGAACTCCGCTGCGGTGACGGTAACGGTGTCAAGGTCGACGCGGTACTTCTCGAGATCTTCACGTAGTTGTGCCAAGGAGTTGTCCTTCTCTTCGTTCTCGTCTTGCAGGCCAGCGATGTGACCATCTTGCTCGGCAAGCTGGCGCTCTTGTTCGACCGACAGTGTGGTCAAGGCAGCGTTGCGCTCCTCAAGATCGAGGATGACGCGCGCCTTGTCTTCGTTCGCCTTGTCGAGAGTGAAGACTTCGGATTCAAGCTGCTTCACGCGCTCCTCTGATTCGCCAAGCAGATCGAGAACACCCTCATACTGTCGTCGGAGAAGCACTTCGGTCTTCTGGGAGCTGCTGATAAGCGTGAGCTTCTGCTTGAGCTCGAAGAAGATGCCACTGAAGAGCTCTGGGACCTTCTGAAGAAGCTGTTGGTTGGTAAGGCCAACAGTGGTACCGGGGAAGAACTTCTCGATCTCAGCGCGAAGGTCCTCGAAGCCATGGCGCAGTTCGGTGAGGATTTCGCGAGAGGAAGCACCAGCCTCGATGAAGCGGAGGTTCTGCAGCTCGATGGTAATCAAGCGCAGCGCACCTTGAGATTCGCCTAGGGCCTTGCTCATCTGCTTCAGCTCCCGCTCGTAGCGCTCGATAGCTTCGTCTTCGATCTTGTCCAGGATGATCTCCTCGCCTTCAGTCAGGCTGTCGCGGTTGAGCTGTGATACGGTCGGCAGAGACTCGAGCGTCATTTGGCTAGAGATCTCCAGCGCGCGGGAGGAGTACTCGCCGGTGGGGGTTGTCACCATGTCGAGATCTTGCGACATGTTCAGCTCCTCGGGGTTGACCATGACCAGACCATCCTCGTCATCGGACAGCTCAACTGGCTCGTTGTCGTCGCCGTTGTATAACGAAGACGCGCGCAGCTCGTCGATCTGCTGGCGGGCCTCGTCTAGCTCCACTTGCAGATCGTTGGCGTCTGCGTCTTCGAGGTCGATCTCGCCAAGTCGGCGGGCCTCCAGACGGTATTCCAGGTCCTTGATCTTGTCGTCCTGGGCCTTCAGCTGGCGACGAAGCTCCAAAAACATCTTCTTGTCCTTCTTCTGGTGGTCCTCGAAGTCGTTTACTTCTTGGCTCAAATGGCTTCGGCGGAGGCGGCGACGGGCGCGGCCGTCCAGGACTTGTGTGAGGGGCGCGAACTGAACGCGGTTGCCGTTGGTCTCGTCGACCTCGTCGACGCGTTCAATGTGAAGCTGAGCTGGCATAGACATGCGGGAGCGGCGGGTGTTGGTGAAACGGCTGCGGGAGGCACCGACGCGGTCGAGATGGGGAGTCAGGCCAGGGAGGGGTTGTGTAGAGGCAGGACGGTTGAACATGAGCTCGTCCTCGTCCTCGTCGACGGCGACAGGAGGCTCCGAGTGTCGGCGGTTGTAGCGGCGCGTGGTGGTGGTGCTCTGTTCGACATTGATGTTGTCTCCCTGCTGCGACCGCGAGAAGGACTGCTGGATCTCTTCGGCGATCTGGTCCTCGTCGTCGTCGGCCTGGACGCGCTTGCTGCGCTTCGTTTGCGAGAGCTCTGCCGAGGGCGACGCGGTTCGCTTTATGGCAGACGTCATATCGTCGGTGGGTGTCTGGTTCTTGGACGGGCGGCCGCGCTTGCGTCGAGGAGCGTCACCGGGACCCTCGTGGTGGTGCTCAGATGGTAGGCCACTGAGGCGCGCCATGGTCGAGCGATTGGGCAGTTTTCTGGCTGCGAGTACCTTCTGGATGCGGTATTAGACAACGGGAGCTTCCGGGCGGCGGCAGTGAATGGTCGCGACACGTGGTGCTGGAGCTGCGTACCTGGCCAAAATTTCGTCAACAGAGCAAGATCGTCAATCGGCCCGTGATGGCAACAGCGACTGTTGCAGTTGGTACAAGCGGAAGGAGCGGAGGGCGCGGGTGTGGTGGGGTACGGGGAGAGACAGGGCCAAGTTTGTCTATATTCAAAAAATGGTTGACGGGCGCCTGTTGTGGTGGGCGAAATGGGGTGGTTGGGTGGAGGCTAGCACCTTTGCTACGTCAATGCGAGCTTGCGGTGAGTCGAGCCGCGAGTGGTCGAGCTTTCACGCTAACCCAGCCCTGACGTACACGCGACTACCGGCGCCCTCTACGCGTTTTCACCCAGGGCCATCTCCCGTCTGGACTGAAACAGGCTGTGAACCGGTTTGTTGTATGTGAACTACCACCCCCATCCGCCACTGTCCACTCATTATGCCATGCGCACAACGTCACCGTAAGCCATTCACGTAGTACAGGACGCGTTTGAGCCTCTAGACCGCCGATCGTCATTCTTCTAGACCTGCAGCCAGCTGTCAGGGCAACACGGCCCTGGCGTGCATCACGATGCTTTTGAGGCGCATGCCGATGCAATGGATCTCCCCACGCATTCCCCGATATCCAGCCATCTTCGGTACGATGCGCTGTCACTTCTTCAATAAGAAGTCGCTTTGGAAAAACAACCCCTTCGTTGCGCTCGCAACCCCGTACAACCCACCAAGCGGCCATGTATCCCAGAACTGGCGGTATGCCCATTCGTTCCACGACTCCGTCTTCATCACGCTTTTCCCCCCAGCAACGCCTTGCAGATCGACCTTCACTTTGTCAAAGACACTTGGCAAGCTTTCGGCGTGGTACTTCCTCCGCAGGTCCATGTACTTCTTCTCGTCGTAGATATCCCAGAACTCTTGCTCCGTGTAATACGCATGCGCGTACAAACACTTCATGCCACCTAGCTCCGTGACTTTGGCTTCAAAGTCTCTGTTGAGCTTGATGAACTCGTGGGCGTCGCTCGGTCCCATGTCCCAGATTCCCACGTCGAGGAGAATGTCGTCTTTGATATTGTTACCTTGGGAGAAGCTTCGCTCCCCACGAGGCGCCGACTTCACTGGACACAGCCAGAGCGGCCAAATGCCCGTCCTTTCATCAGTCCATCGAACGAATTCTTCCGCCGCGTCGTATGGTACACCGTAATCTTGGATGATAGTTCGGGATGCGAGACCTGAGCGATGCAGAGCGTGTACCATGGTCCGGGAGTACATGAAAGGATCTAGTAGAAAGCGCGTGAGACGATTGAAGGGCGTGATGAAGTATTTGAACGCGCGCAGCCCTGACCAGAAGACGCCTCTGTCGTAGCGGAACAGATAGGACTGAACAGGCACAAGCTCCTTGTATGTTGTTTTCTCGTCCTGGGCCCGCTTCAGGATGTCCTCTGCATGCATGTATAGCCAAGGGTCTGTCGCTTTGTCGAAACTCTGAATCCTTCTATTCATTGGAGCATCATGACCATCTGTCAAGCGACCGATCATAACCACGCCACTCGTCATCGAATACATGATGCCATCCATGTATTCGACCTCGATATCATCTTGGTATCGTCGAAATTGCTCGACGGCCTCATTTGTTGAGCGAACTGGAATGTACTCCAACTCAACGTATCGACGTGCGTCAATGAGCTCCATTTTGAGTAGGGTAATGACGCCTAGACTCCCGCAACTTCCTGCTGCTGTGAAGAACAGATCGCGGTTTTCTTCTGCCGATGCCCATACTACCTCGCCGTTTCCTAGGATAAGCTCAATGCCGGAGATGGTGCGATCGAACAACCCGTACTTATAGGAGCTGCTCTCGCCGCTGGTGCCAGCGAATCTGTCGATCTTAGTTAGCAGTTTTCCATGCCATGTAATTTGCTCAGACGTCTTCGGTTTTGTGTTCATCACTATGAACTTGATGGAGGGCTCGAGTGACGACTGGGCTATGTCTTTTCGTTAATCACTCACCCGCCACCGACTGTAATGTTCGGGAGTTCCATGACGACTTTGGGCAGGAAACCTTTGGCCATTGTAGCTTCCACAAGTTTATCCATCGGCACGTTCGGCTCCACCAATACCGTCTTTTCAGTCTCATCAAACTGGAGCACATGGTTGAGTGAGCTGACATCGATAATCTGATTCCGATCACGAGACGATTTGCGTGTTGATAGTGTAGAACCATGGTAAATGCGGAATGGGGTCTTCGAAGCACTGAAGCGGGCGACTTGCGATGCCAGAGTCGCTACTGTAGAGTTATGAGTATCCATAGTGCGCGTGTAATGATGCAATGAGATGTAACGATGTTGTCGGGTGGTCCGAGGTTGAAAGGAACATGGTGTGGCGTTGCTTTTGATGTATACATAAGCTGCAGGGCTGAGCCTTCTCCACTACCCGTTGGATCCTGCTAAAGTCAATATCTGACTATTCGCCCCGGACCAAAAGCCGCTCTTATGTGTGTGTGGGGCGAAGGATCCATATGCAATCCTCTTCATGGTTTCAGCCATTGTAGATATCCAGGCGACGAGCTGTCATTAATGGTGCTCCAGAGAAACCACAATCGCGAGCGTATGCGCGGGCGTCACCTTCCGTATCTTGAGTGATGGAATCGGGCGCCCCATAGGGACCGGAAGCGCGGAAGACGATCCACTCGCTAAGAACGCTGACGTACGGCGTTCGGAAAGGTTTTTCCACCCCCAAGGTTTTGGCTTGCGCATTGAATACGAAATACGGCTCAGGCAGTAGCTGGCAGCTTTCAGCATACTGTTGTCGCAACTGCGATAGTAGGAAAGAAAGATTGGTGGTTCGATCTCGTGGATCCGCGGGCAGGTACGACCGCTACTAGCGCAGCCTCTTCAGCCTCATCTCGCAGCCACACATCACGCAGGAAAGCAACACCAATCGCATCGCTGCAGTCGGCTCCACACCATCTTCCAGATGGACAGTCACCGGGCTACTGTAGAGACAGTACGTTCTCGCATTCAGCATTTTTACCACAACAAGACCGCATTTCGTGTTTATCATGGTAGCACGAACAGCACCCGTCATGCTCATTTCGACCGAGATGCTATCGTGGACGTAAGCTCCCTCAACCACGTCCTATCCATCGACAGAGAAAAAAGAACGGCGCTTGTCGAACCAAATGTCCCTATGGATGCCTTGGTCAAGGAAACCATGAAGGCGGGCCTGTTGCCTCCTGTGGTTATGGAGTTCCCAGGCATCACCGTAGGAGGAGGCTTCGTAGGCACTGCAGGAGAAAGTAGCAGCTTCAAGTACGGATTTTTCGACCGTACAGTGTTGAGCGCAGAAGTGGTTTTGGCGGATGGTACGCTTGTCACAGCATCCCAGGACGAGAACCAAGAGTTGTTTGAAGGCTTAAGAGGTAGCTTCGGAACACTCGGTGTGCTCACGCTGGTGGAGATGCAGCTTGTTCCTCTCAAGAAGCTGGTTGAAGTTACCTACCATCCAACCTTTTCCTTCGAGAACGCGACAGATAAGATCCAGTATCATACCACCGACGAAAGGAACGATTACGTTGACGGAGTCCTGTTCTCCAAAGGTGCCGGAGTGGTAGTAACAGGGCGCCTCGTTGACAAAGACCGTACGCCCGAATTGCCGATTCAAAGATTCTCTAGACCATGGGACGAGTGGTTCTGGATACGCGCAAAGAAGCTTGCCGCAAAAGGCATCATCACGAAAGAGCTTGTCCCTGTGGAAGACTACCTGTTTCGCTATGATCGAGGAGCATTCTGGATGGGAATGTATGCTTACAAGCAGTTCATGGTCCCTTTCATGTGGTTCACACGCTTCTTGCTGGACTACTTCATGCACACCAGGATCATGTATCACGCATTACACGTGTCCGGATACACGGATCGATTCATAATCCACGACATCGCGTTCCCAGCCGCCAACACTGCGTCTTTCTTGCAGTATTCGGACCAGGCGTTCAACATATATCCGCTCTGGTTGTGTCCGCTCCGGCAGGATGGTAGAAGCTCGATGGGTCATCCCAAGCCGTTCGAGGGTCTTGTCAATGGGAAAGAGAAGGGCGTTCATGACGGCAAATACATCAGCGTTGGTATCTGGGGCCCATACTCTTCCAACGAGACTGAGTACGTTCGCGCAAATCGCGAGATCGAAGCAAAGATGCGCGAGCTGGGTGGACTGAAGTGGCTATACAGCCGAGTCTTCTACGCCGAAGATGAATGGTGGCAAGTCTACGATAAGCGCGAGTATGATACGCTACGTAGCAAGTACAATGCAGATTCCCTGCCAACGATATGGGACAAGGTCAAAGACCGAGGAAGAAAGGAGGAGTTCGGTCCGGGCCTGAAAGGTATGCTGAAACGCATTGTGAAGAGCAACGCTTTCTTAAGTGGACTCTATGGCATCTACAAGGCGGTCAAAGGTGGAGATTACATGTTGAAGAAGAAGGTTTCCTAGAACCAAAGTAGTCAAGAATCAGCTGTGTAGTGCAGACATGTGGTAATGAGCAAGTCTTGAATAGTACAAAGCCCATAAGAGGTTAGTGGCGTCTTCGGACTGCCGGAGACATCCTCGAGGAACATGAACCGAAATCTCCTCGCGTTATCACCTCTCTACAGTACCTCATGCCCCGCCTCCCGCGGAACATTATAATTTGACATTCCTGCTACCGGAGATAGTTGTTCTAGAAGAAGATGCGCGATCGTCACGGAAGCCTCGTTGCCGTCGCAGAGCGGGCCATGACGTTTAGGGGGGCGGCGCGCCTTCTGCGATCGAGGCCGAAGATTCCAAATTCTTAGCGCAAGTCAAACGATCAACACCACGGACAATGCGACCGTGCTCAATCAAAACCCAAAGGCAATTATAATCGCGTCATTATCGAGGATTTCGCTGCCCAGGTATCAAGACGCGAACGCTCGTTGCTTACACATTCGCATTGTGTCCAGTCACAGTGCAGCGTAATCCCGAGCATTGGTCTGGTTCCGACCACGCACCTTCATGCAGGTCGTGTACCGTCGCTACTTGGGTACTTCCGAACCACATCACGAGGCTATTGCAAATACAACCAACGATAACTTCGGCTGCAAGGAGTCCCTGCGTCTCTGTCAAACCACAGCACAAAAGCACAAGTGAACGGTTCACGTCCAGCGCGAAGACTCGCTGCGAAACATCTCCGTGGCCTAATTGACCATATACGTATGTTATGGACGCGTTCTAGGCGTAGGGAAGCACATTTCAGTGTACCTGCGTACCGTAGCTTCCGCCTATGGTGGCGAGTAGACTCATTATACAAGAGCTAACGGCTGCCATACTTCATCGATTACCCAATCCAGCCTATGATGCCCCACGGAGTCCCACTAACTACTGGGGTAAAACCGCGCTCGGCGCGGGACTACTTGCTTTGGCACCTCATAATCTCCTTCTTTCGGATGTCGCCTTGCCGGTACTTGATTTAGCTGCTGATTTTACCTGCATATGGTTCCCTGCGGTACATTAACTAGATGGCCGATAATCAACTATTGGTTGCACAACGTCAATTCGGATGAATAAACTGTTCGGCAGCGCTATGGAAAGTTCGATCGACGAGTTCGCGCGCTTTGGATTTGTTGGTAGCTCCAGTATTGGAAGGGTTGTAATGTAAGGGCGCAGGAGCCAGTCGTGTGCTGTTGGTACTATATAATGTGGCGGCCACATTCGGTCGCGAATGAACCACCAGTACTCAGGTCAAGTCTCACTTCAACTCACCATTCTTCCGCAACAAAATGGCTCCACTCAAAGCATTGCTACCCCTTGCCCTGGCCAGCATCGCTGCCGCCAGACAATGCTCCAACTTTATGATTCAGACTCCCATCATCTCGCGACAAGGACAGTTCAAGGAAGTACCAATCGAAGGCAACCTCGACGTCGGCGCATTCGTAGCTAGCTTCAACCAGTTCGGCAAGAACTACAGCGCGGAGCTTCTCGAAGGCTACCAGACACTCCAAGGTACCTTCAACATCTCTGCGCAGTACTGTAAGCCAGCCAGCGGTAGTGGAAACACGATCCAGCTGTTGAGTCACGGTATTGGCTTTGACAAGACATACTGGGATTTGGAGTACGAAAACTATAACTACAGCTACGTCGACGTCGCGTTGGCCGCTGGTTACAGTACGCTTGCGATCGACCGTCTTGGTATCGGTAACTCGTCTCACGGAGACCCCTTCAACGAGTAAGTGACAACACAATAGCAATCGTTGTGTACCATATACTAATCAGGTCTTTTCTTCAGGATCCAAGCCCAAGCAGAAGTCGAAGCCCTCAACTCCATCACCACACAGCTGCGTGACGGCAAGATCCCAGAGATCAGCTGCGCATACGAGAAGGTCATCCACGTCGGCCACTCTTTCGGCAGCGTCCAATCCTACTGGCTTTCCGCTCTCTACCCCGAGAACACCGACGGTGTGATCCTCACCGGATTCTCCGTCGCCGGACAATTCCTTGCTTACATCACCGCCGGATGGAACCTACACAGCGCCCGTCTCAACCAGCCCCTCCGCTTTGGAAACGCGTCCAACGATATCATCGAATCCATCGCCAGCCAGTACGACCTGAGCGACAACATCGTCGGCAGTCTCCAGAAGATCCTTGCGGCCGCTGGTGTGGACCTGACCACCGACGAGGTCTGGAACGAACTTGCAACCACCGAAGTCCTCGACTTGATCAACGGATACAACAAGACCGTTACCCAATACGACTACCCCTCCGGCTACATGGCACACTCCGACCTCACCGCCCTACAGTACGCTTTCCTCCAGCCCGGCAACTATGACGTCGGCCTCGCTCTCGTAGCCGAGAAGACCAAGCAGCCCGTCACCACCGGCGAGCTCTTGACTATCGGCGGCTCACCCAGCTCGTCTCCCTTCACTGGCCCCGTCCTTGTCATCACTGGGGAGACAGACGTTCCCTTCTGCGGTGGCAACTGCTACGGTCAACTCATGGGTTCCAACGCCTCCAACATCCCCGAGGGCGTTGCCATGGCCTACCCCAACGCTTCTGCTTTCGAGTCCTACATCCAGCCTAACACTGGACACGGTTTGAACTTTCACTACAATGCCACAGCTGGCTACCAAGTTATGCAGGACTTCTTGGCTAGCAACGGGCTTGCTGCGCAGTAAGCGTTGTACTTTGTATTGTGTGTCGCGTCTATTCTTCCGTTGAGGCTGGGCCCTGAATGCGCATTTCGCAAGCTTGATGCATATTCTAAACTAGTATCAGAGAATGAATACGTATTCTTTGTAATATCATGCACGAAAATCGTCACCTGAAAGTTTTGCGTGTTGTATTTGATGTGGCTTACTCATGCACATGCCTGTCGCAAGCCATAACCGATACTGAAGTACCTGGGTTGACTTTCTAAGCCTTGACTAAATGATTGCAAGCAGTGACACTCAGGCACGATCTCGCTTCCCCGAAAATTCCGCGCAAGCGTGGTGACCAAATGCTGATGAATAAGCCTTGTCATTGCTGACTTTACAGCTAGGTATGCAGAAAACGCTCGGCGTCTCCACACCTCCGTGCACGACAGGGAGAGCTCAGAACACCATTGACAGTTATCGCACCACATGTCCTCGCCCATTGCACCACTGATTATCAAAGCCTTACTCAGAATGTCGCCGTCGTATACGACGCCTCAACACCAAGGATGTTGACGATGGCCCGCTTCGCCCATGCACGACATCCTGACTAGGACCTGTGATGCGGGGCTATATCATGAAGGTAGCCAATGCTGAGCCGTGGGGCTGGCAAATAATCTGGGTACAGTGTTTGTCATGGCTTTGATAGCATTGCAAACAACAAGATCTCCGGGTCGAGATGGTAGTCTGAAGCTGCACCAATGCAGGACTTGGTTACGTGCTCCGCCTTAACATGGACCTAAACCGTGTTGTGCGAAAGTGGGCTTGCGGGCCAAGGCATGGCGTGGCGATGTATTTGCGCAGTGGAGTAGATCCGATGGAACGGGGTTTGGGCGGGAGGTAGGAGTCAAGGTGGATGAGGCTGAAGACTCTGTAGACGTATAAAGAGGTCTTCCAACTGCTCTCAAGTTACACATCCACTGCAACAATATTGGATACTTCTCAGACTTCGGAGCATAGCTTGACCCACCGATCGGATCACCAGTCTTCAAGATGAAGTTCAGTTCCACCATCGCTCTTGCGGCCCTCACGCTGCTCAACACCGTTCGCAGTGATGGTACGATTGTCCTGTAAGACAAATCTTCCAGCAGCTAACATGCCTCAGCTGTACCATGGGAGCGCATCGACAAGGACAAGGCGGTGAGTCTTCTTCATACTCTCCAACCCCATATCCCCATCTAACGTCCCAACGTAGCTCCTCCTCATCCTTGACTTACAAGTCGGCCTCTTCCAGCTAGCCAGAGACTGGGACCCAACCCTCTACAAGCAAAACATCCTGGCGCACGCCGAACTTGGGAAAGTCTTTGATATACCTGTCATTTTGAGCACGTCTGCGGACCAAGGTCCCAATGGACCGTTGCCGAAGGAGATGCTGGAGATGTATCCTGATGCGCCGCTTATCCGGCGTCAGGGCGAGGTCAGGTGAGTCGTCTTTCTCATCGTTATCACTATACCTTGCGTCAACATACCACAATATCTGCCTCTCAGCAAACACCTCTCCTAACACATCCCCAGCGCCTGGGACAACGAAGCCTTCCGCGCCGCTATCCGCGCCACAAACCGCACGCAAATCATCGTCGGCGGCATCACAACCGACGTCTGCACCACCTTCCTCGCCCTCGCCCTGCGCTCAGAAGGCTACTCCGTCTTCGCCAACGTCGAAGCCAGCGGCACCTACACGCAGCTCGTGCGCGACACGGCAAACGCGCGCATGCAGGCCGCGGGCGTGCAGCTCGTTTCTCTCTTCTCCATTGTATGCGACCTCATGCGGGATTGGCGCAATACGCCCGGTGCGAAAGAGCTGCTGCCGTACTTGGACAAGTATTTGCCGGTTTATGGGGCGGTGGCGAGGGGACATGCAGCGGCCGTGGAGAATGGGACGGTTATTCCGGGGGAGATCGAGCTTATTACGGGGGAGAATGGGACGGTTCTGTTGTAGACGGTTGCGGGGGGTTGGGCGGTTGACGATGCGCGGGAAGGCGGAAGATACTGGTAGGTAGCGAGTAGGAGGGTTTGGTGGAGAGGTACATGATGGCTGGTGGAGGGGACTGCGTGCAATGTTGATAGTAATGTCAACTGCGTAAGAGCGATGAAGTTACAGCTCTTTGTTGATCGTGTGGGTGTTCATGACGCTTTTGGCGGGTCAACATTGATACGGCAGCTCTTGGCGAGACCAAGGGCAAGCCGACGCGAAGCCACCTCGGCATCTGAGAGCCCATCCGTCACTGTCTTCCCCAACACCAAGAGATGTGACCATACACACCTCACTTTACAGAACTCACCGTCGCGTCGCCATCCACCGCGGCATGCTTTACAGTGCGAGCAATGCTGAGCCTGGAGACAAGCTGCCTATACTGCCACACGCCGTGCAACCGCTGCCTTCAGATCCTACAATACGACTTTCGAGCTATGCATTCCATACAAGTACATGATACACGGGTAATATGAACAAGGGCCCTTCGTGGAGAGTAAATTCCAAGGTAGGAGCGATATGGCTTATGGGACGCCTTTGACATGCTTCTTGGCTTGGTATATGTCGGTCTTGCCTGATTCACAAATGGAGTCAACTTCGACCGAAGCACAGTACTCGTTGCCTCGAAGGTGTCTAAGCGGTCGCTATCTGCACCCTTGTGCTTGCACTTACCTTCGCTCAACCTATAGTTCTCTTGACACTATCAATAGACGCCCCCGATCCTTACCACGAACAGCCATCGCTATCATTCCATCCGTCATTTACCTGTAAAGGCCGATCATGTCCCTCTCCAGAAACCACTCATTCCCGCCGGTAATCAGTGCACGACATGATGCGACCGAATACATACCAGATTTACCTCCCTCGCTCGCTGTATGGCTCATGCTACGTACCAAAAACGTCAGCAAAATCGGTTTAGCGGGATTCGACAAACGCTGCATAGTCTGCGAGCAGTTTGTGTGCAATTTCTGGACCGAAGCATGCGACCACAGAGTGAGGTGGCTCACGAAAGAAGCGGCGAAAGAAGGACTGGCAACGTTGACACCGCAGCCATATCTCCGACGACGGCTTTCAGAAGACTTCGTCGAACGATCGGTCCTTGCACAGCAGCGCCCAAGCCTCCCACTGTCAACGAAGTGCGTATCACCAAACCCAGATGTATCGAGTATAAGCGCGCAGCTTGCACAAACCCAAACCTTCGTTCCTTTCCAAACCCGTAACACAACGGAACCCATACCACCGAAATATTGCAGATGGGATAAATCCGGTGTACACACATGCTCTAGTCCCACTGGCAGCTGTAAAATCGCAGTCAAGATCCTCACGCGCGGATGTCGGCATATCATCGGTCAAGACTGTCTCTATCGATGGATCATAGCAGGAAAGAACTGGTGCCGGTTTTGCGGTGTGGTTTGGTTCAAGGAAGAGAAGTCTAAGATCCCGAGAATGGCGCTATTAAAGGAGTGTTTTCGGGGTAGGGCGGATTATGTCGAGCACTTGGGCGCCATATGTGGGAAAGAAGAGTTCCAACAACTTGCGACACAGTGTGGAACCATGGGAGAAGGCGAGTGGAAAAGTATCCTTACTAGAGAGCTGGAGCGGATAATACTGGGGCAGTGTGGACTCCAGAAGGATATGGACTCTATGAAAAAAGAGATACTGAGGATGGATCCGAGCTTTGTGGATACTTGGGATGAGCTGATAGAGGACCTTGAGAAACAGTGCTGCAGCGACGCGATAGCACCTTGGACCGTCAATGAGAACTCACCGGCACCGTGGGACCCATACCAAAATCCGAGCGCGCGCAAAGGAATCCATATTCCTCATCACAAATGTCGTTAGATTCTCTCAGCGACAGCTGCCAGTCTGAGCATTCACCGCGATACCACGTTCCCATAGAGACAATCGTTCCGTCGCTAAGACACTCAAGAATCTGACCATTTCCACTCTCATGACCCACTTCTTCCGTGATCCTCGTTCAAGAGACATCCAACATGGAATTCAGCGATATGATATCAACCGCGGTTATACAGACCCACCATTGTGAAACAGCACATGCAGCAACCCTGATCTCTATCACTCACAAGCTTTCCGCGGCATTTCTTAGCACATGGAGATCCGTTTCGGAAGCTCAAGCCAGGCGTTTCGTGAGAAAAAGGTAATTCACAACTCCAACTGTTTGGCCTTCCGCCCCGCTGTCGCGCAAGAGTTGCTGTATGCTTAAGTAGCGGCGCGCGGAGGGAACGCCGTGTTCGATAGTCCACGGTATCTGACATGACAGCTAGGACTCTCAAACTCTAGACAAACAGCTGTACGAGCAACACAAACGCGACCGGAAGTTGAGTCGGTGTCTCGTACCACCTCACGAAACTGTCCGGTCCAGAGCCCTCCAGAGCGCTCGCGCTTCCAATTACCAAGACCAGAAAGGACCCGCGTACTATACGATGTATTGCCAGTACCTGCTTGGCGACGAGAAAAAGAAAGAATATTAATAGCTCAAGCCGTGGGGAAGGACCGAGAGATGTTTGTCTTCGTTCTGGTTCTAGCCTCAGGTACGACTCGGAAGGATGCCGAGGAGAGAAGGAAAAATAGATGTGCTATGGCTGGAAGAGGGTTGGTGTACTGGATGTGGACGTCCGTGTGTCGAGAGTAACGTTTCGCAGTCCGTTTTCGAGGGTGGAGCCCCCTGTCTGTGAGTGCGGTACCCGGAGTGAGGTCCGCATCATGGCAGAGGACGGAAGTTGCAAACGAGTGAAGTCATCGCTGGAGTGCGCAAGACAATCAGAAACTGAGATGAACACCATCTCTAGCATCATCCATTGAACGAAGCAAAAGTGACGATGGTCGTCTGTGGGGACGCCGCTAGTCACAACGCGGTTCCCAGCTGCGCCTCCAGCAGCCAGTGCACCAATGACCTTTGCAATCTAACCCACACTTTCCACCAAACACTAACCTCCCATCAGCTCACCCATCTTATCTTAATGTGCTCACAGACAACCCGCCGTTCACCTACTGCACACACGAGCGCTCATCTCGGCTAAAGCTACAGCAAAAAGGCGCAGCGCAGCGCGCACCCCGGCGTGACCGCTGACTCTAGAACCCGGTCTCTGCTTCCCGCTTAGACCCCGGCGAGATGCTACTGTGCGAAACGGCCGGCTGTGGTGTGGGCGTAGCTGATACAACAGCTGCGCTGAACACAGAATGGGCAGAGGCGGGGGATAATTTTCGCATATAGACTGGGCTGCTGCTGCGCGCATTTGGGACTTTATCTGTTCACCATTTCAAGTAATCTAATCAATCCCATCGACTGTTCGCTATCGCATAGCATTGCATAGCATCATCATCCTTCATAAGCACCACCAACACCACACTCCCCTACCCATCTACCACCTTATCTCCATCAGCCCATTACATCAGGCCGCCAGATTACCACCCAACTTGACGCACCAGCAATTCCACTGCTTATCATCAACCACATCGCTTACCTAGGTGTCAAGGCCCAGTCCTTGGTAGGTATGTCATCTTGGAAAAAGTATGCCCGAAAACATCACTAACGGACCGACCAGCAAGGGAATCCCAACCGCTGCGCCTCTTCCCCTCACCTTGGTACAGACGTAACATCGCGTGGCTTTGTTAACACCAAGAGAAACCTACACTTATAATCCTGTCTCTCGTCTCTACGGAGAAAAAGACACCATAATCACCACCACACACGACCATGTTGGCCAGAATCTCTACGTCGCTCGTTGCGACTCTGCTGCTCTCATCGACTACTCTCGCTGCGCCTACACAAACACATTGTCGCTGCGAAATCGTTGCTGATATGCCGTCTTCATCCGTTCCCGCTTCTGCTGCCTACACACCCTCCGCCGCACATTGGTCACCAGCAGACCCTTCGCAAAGTCCCGTCGCAGCACTCAATGTATGCGCAAGCCTAGGATCGGAATTACAGAAACTGCAACACACAGAGCCGGAGCTGTACGACTCGTATATGGCGGGTGCTATCAAGGATGCGCCGCAGAAGCCGGTACCGACTGCGGTGCTGATGAACAGTCATGAGGAGGCACAGTCAACGTCAAGCCCACATAGGAGAATTGTGTGTCATGCGGAATCGATATTGTCTACGCCAGAGTTCCATAGCTCGTTTGTGGGACTGTGGGCGCTGCAGATGATTGTTGTGGTTGCGATATTGGCTTGCGTTGCTGAGGGGTTACATTTGGGCAAACAATGGTAAGACAACTTGGCTCCTCCTCACTATTCCTCATATACTAACGGTATGTCTAGGATGAAAAACAACAGCTCTCCTGAGCCAGTATCCGAGAAGAGTAGCCTGCGCTTGACTGGTGCAGAAAGGCGTCTCCTAGCCATCCCCACTGGTCCCCAGGAAGCCGATTCAGTGTTCAGCCCAGGCGCAGAGAAGAAGCTACGAGCGTACGAGACGACACGATACTTTGTTACGCAGGCATCGAGTGGACGGAGAGAGTTCATTGCGTATGATGATGATAGCGATGATGAGGCGAACAGGCCTGTGATGTAGTGTTACCCACATCACGGCTTTGATTGAATGAATGTATGATGTTCCACCTTCCACTACCTGTCCACCGTGCATGCATGTTCCAGCGATGCGAAGGCGCGGTCGTGGTGTGGTTCGATGCTACAACATTTCGTCCAAGCACACAACAGCGCCTTATCTTTCCCTGCATGTCATGGGGTTTCACCCACCATGACACTTGCGCAAACCAACGTTGGGCCTACAACATGCCCGGCACCTCGTGGTTTTACCCACGAGTACAAATGACAGTGTCTGGGATACAGAGCGCCGGTGTCTTTCCTCCATCGTCCCTCCTTCCTCTTTCGTCCCTGCCACCACCCACCACGAAGGTACCGTACAACAAAGCTCGCGATGAAACATCGCATAACAAAAAGAGCAAACGCTCAACAGAACGGTAAAACAAATGGGTATCGTGAAGTAAGACCAAGAACGCTAAAGCAAGCAGTCTACATACAAGTCACCCGAACGATGCATCGATCCAATTGTGGCAGGGTGCAAACGGTCGAGCCAGGTAGTGGGCGCAAGGATGCATGGCCGCAGTGGACGAAAGTGTCGCGATCGGAAACACATGGAAGCATCCACTCATACCTACCTGAAATGGAAGAAAAGTAATATACAAACAGCGGGGGTATCGCAAGGGTAAAAGAGGAATTAGTGTTGTTGCTTGGTATGGTATTGTCGCATGGAAGATTAGGTGTCGCTCGGGTTGTCGCTATGGGCATCTCGATAGATGTCATTATTAGGCGGAATTGGGTCCTGGTATGGGTCCAGATATCGGTACAAGTCATCGTGACAGGTCATCGCAGTGGGCTGATCGCAGCTGGGGGTATCGTAATGGGACAAGGTCGCAGAAGGGGATGTGGTCGCTGGCAGAGCATTCCAGATGGATGCCAGTATTAATGGTTTGTTTATCGCAGTAGGCAATGGGATGGTCGCTAGGGTATCGCGCGGGGTATCGTAGTCGTAGTATGGTAGTGTCGCGGTAGGCCAGGGTCCACATTTCACATCACCGGGATGCTGAGAACCGAGGAGTCTAGGTGGAAGCCGTACATTAGAGTTCGTATCGAGGACAGTACTGTGGATACAGTCGTACAGGGGAGGACCAGAACATGGTCTCCAGGAATGGCGCGCTAAACAGAAACAGGAACAGGATGTCGAACGCCGTAGAGAAATGCCGTATCCAGGAAAAGCGCTAATGTCATGTCGTAAATGTATCGTAGAAAGGACAGAATTTTGGTTGAGGGGAGCCGCGAGGTTCCGCCATATGGTCGGTAGAGGTTGACAAGGTTGGCTCACATGATGGTGTGGTAACCCTTATCGTTCATGACGTCAATCCAGAACGCGTCTTGGCCCTCGTCAGACTGGCGCCAGGTCTCCTTGATGAGCTGGATCATTTTGCGAAGAGGCTTGTTGGGAAGCCTAAGAGCGAACTCTTGCAAGCGCCTGATGACAAACTCACGAGCGGCGACGACCTCTGCATCATTGGCCTGCACGTCGAAGAAGTCAATCGAAGAGACGAACTTCAACTCAGAGGCACACACAACAAGCAGAAGCGGCTGGATACAGAATGTACCCGACGAGGAAGGCAGAGACTCGAGTGACCGGATGATGTGCATGGCAAGTGAGTTGAGCCACAGCTTTATGTCGGTAGCCTCGTAGACAGTCTCGAATCGCGGCGTAGGGAAGGCGAACTCGATGTTCTCGCTACCCTTGGTCTTGCCGGATCCCAAGCGCTTGCGTAGGATGGAGGGGAAGACACGGTAGATCTCCAATAAGCCAGACAGACGGTAGGCCTCGGCGATGGTGACGAAGTGTTCCTTGGGGGTACGCTCATCACCAGTGTCAATGACCTGATCAACTGATGGGTAGTCAACAGCTAGGAGGTCCTCTTCCAGTGAGGCGGCGTTCTGAAGGTTCTCTTGTCGTCGACGGAGGTCCATAGAGTTTTCGCGGTCCATCGAGCGCTCCTTGCGAACTAGACGACCAACCTCGGCGAACAAGAAGTGAATCATCGGGGCGATGCCTGTCCATGGATGAGGGACTGTCTTTCCCTGCGGCCCACGCGCAGCAGGAGTGTTCGTCCTGGCGGTGATGCTAGGTCGCAGTCCTGACTTGGGCGAGAAGCTCATGGCATCTTCTGTTACGAAGCCCATGAGCATCTCCCAGTGGATCAAAGACTCCTCAAAGAACTGTGCCTCGCGCTCGACTTCAATGCCGCCCGACCTACTAAAAAGCTTGGGGAGGATGAGGTCTCGCGCGATAGACAAGTACTCGAGTCCGAGCGCGTTGCTGTCGTGCCATGAGGTGGTGAGACCAAGTAGCATGATGCTCAAGAACGTCTTGGTCGCGCTTGTGTGATCCCTCTGAGCAAGTGGAAGCTCCAGCTCCAATGCCTCGCGCGCCTTGCGCTGTAGCTCAAGGCCGGTTGCCGCCATGTTGGGGAATGTGTTGGCAAGATGTGCGGCAGCCATGGATTGGATCGCGTAATTAATGGAAGGGCAGTCCTTGTAGATGCGGCCAATGGTAGTCCGGAAGGGGTTAAGAACAGAATCGAAAGAAGAAAACACAGCGCAGACGTCCTTGAAGTAATGCTGAACGAGCAGTGACTCGACATCATCCGGGGAGGATGGGTCTGGAGAAGGACTTGGAAGACGATACAAGTCAAGAAGCAACGAACGCGAGAGCCTGGGGCTAGACTCTCGGTTCTGTTCCCGATCCATAACAGGTAACGAAGTAGAACTCATGTCTTGCTTCTGTGAAAGGTCTTGCATGTCGAACTGAAGGTCTTCCAGCGAGCCAGAGTCGAAGTCGATGTTGTCGAATGGATCAAAGCTGAAGTCTTCGTTGGGCATTTGGATAGCGTCAGCGAATCCATCAAGCATGATGGGGTCCATGTTGTTGACATCCTCCATGGGGAAAGGCTCGTACTCGCGAGGGGAATCACCATCCTCGGTAGAGGACTCTTGTATGGAGGCTGGTTCCTCAAAGCTTGGTGGAGAGGGGACTGCTGATGAGGCCTGTGTTGTCAAGGGTTGCTGTGTGGGAGGGGAGTTCTTCCTGCCTGCAGGGAGGACGGCAGCCAACGCAGCCTCGATACCACTGGCGACGTTCTGGGGAAGGGGTGACTTCGCGGCCGGTGAAGTGGTAGAGGTGGCGTCGGGTGTTGACCTGGGTCTAGGGGACGCTGACTTGGACTGGGCGGGGTTGAAGACTTCGTACTTTGTCGACCATTTCAGAGTCTTCTCGTAGCCAGGACACGCGACGTTCCTTTTCTTGCACTGCAAGCAACCAGGAGCGGTCTCGTCACATTTGAGCTTTGTTTTTGTCAGCAAGTGGGCCAGTGCAGTAGGCGCAATCGTTGGACTTTACCCTCTTGAGTTTGCATCGACCACATCCGTTCCTGGACTTGGTCTTCTTAGCCTTCAGATCTCTCGCCAAAACCTTGTCTTGAGCCAATGCGGGCATCTTGAGTATCAGGGTAGGGTAGACTTGGTTGGGGGGGCGAGGTCTGGGAATGTCGAACGACAATGGGGTGAGAATCCCGGTGCGAAGTAATAGGACTTAAGATGCGGATCCAGTGAATGCGGATACGACGCTTCAAATGCGCGTGACGGGTCAGTGACACAGCCGATGGTTCCCTTCGCCTATCATTAGACCGGTGTGGGCCAAGATAGCAGCTGATAAAAACATGTCGCTGGTGTGGTTGATGCAGGGTGTCTGAGCCTGGATGCCGAGCTTCGGCCTTTCAACAACCCAGCTTTCCCCGAAGTATCCATATCGTGCATCAGCGCGCGGCTGATTGGCCAGCCACCGCAGTCGAGCGTCGCATTTTCGCTCTTTAAACCCCTCTATGGGAGGACGCCCGCTCAGCGGAAAAGTTGGACACGCGATTGATAGATTATCCGCGTCGTCTGAAACTATCATCAATGGCGGGCTCGTAAAGAAGGTTATAGCCAAAAAAGCATCATGAGGATGTTGAGAGTCTGGAGATAAGGCAGATCAACGGCTACCCCACAATCATCCAGAAGTGGGATGAAAGAAGTGGATTTGATAACTATGTATAGTTAGTGCAAGACCTTAGCGCCGCTAGTAGCATCATCTTGCTTCACGATAACCTCAGCCCAAGATAAAGCCACGTCTGCACGCATGCCCCATGACGATGTCGGAGCGTCAACCAACGCAGCGTCCAGGCCTGCTCATATCGACGCATGCACTTATCGGCACGACTATCTAGAGATCCGACTCTGAGCGACCGCCTCAAACGAAGCGACCTATCACATGAGCTTCGCAAGGTCCTCGTAACACGGTACAAGCCATGAAGACATAGAAACCGTTATCTTCTACGAGGCGGCTCTGCTTCGATCGGCAGTTACCAAAGGCGCTACTGCACTGCTTGTCGAGCTCTGCCCCCTTGCTAAGCAGTGCCATGCCACCGGGCCTGGTCAAGCAATTGGCTGTCGCTAGTGGCATCGAGACGAGGCACACGTCGAACTTCCGTAGAGGCTGGATGCCACAACCTTCCAGCGCATGCTACCCCGCAAATTCAATACGAGAGACGTAAGAACAACAACCGTGTCACCGCTGAAATTCTGGGGTAAGAATCTGGGGCCGATGCATCCAAAAGTGCGCGATGTGTAATGCCAAGCTCAAGACCGCGACTTCACATCTGGGGAAACGCTGAGCTAGGAATGATACGATGTCGGAGATGCACGCAGTGGTGGAGCGTTCACCGACAGGCTCTATCCGACGGAAAATTCTTCACCACCACCACCCCATCGGAGAGTTCAACGGCTGCTGTTTTCCGCCACACGACTCCACATGCGAACGCGAACGACAGGACGGAATGTAATCCGAGATTTTCGGTGAATGCGATAAGCCTAGAATGCCACTACTGCGCGTCTACTGTACGACATCGATGAGTTTAATTCTCATGGCTCAACCTTGACTGCTGTCAGAGAATGCCAGTTTATCCCGGCTTAGCCTAAACTTTGGAAGACGGACAGCATCATCACGTGGTTTGTTCACAGCCCCGTTACAGCATGGCGACAAGTCGATAAGTATGACTATGAGCACACGACACATACGACTTGACGAGCCGATTACGACTGTCACCATCCGGACATCGATGAGTTAATTCAGATGGCTCTACCTTGACTGCTGTCAAAGAGTGCCCCTTGATCCCGGTCTGGCGTCAACTTTGGAAGTCGGATAGCCTCCTCACGTGGTTCTTTGACCGCCCCATTACAACATGACAACGCGTCCATGTGTATGAATGAAATCAGTCTGTGAGGTCGGAATATGACCACAATCACACGACACGTGTGACTCATCGAGTCACTCACGGTCAACACGTGCACTTGCGTTACCACAATCCACTCGCATTTCAGGAACTCTCCGGATCTCAAGTCGCCCTTTAATCCTCCAAGCCAAGAAGAAGACATTGCATCTTTGAGTAAGGCCGGGACATGGGATGGTCCGGGCTGATCACCAAACTCTTATCTTGATATGCACAATAATAGCCATGGTTTCAAGATAAAGATGCGTCTTTCACACACTCTTGTAACGGCATCCACAAAGCATACATAGTCTTCTGCGTCTTTCCCCAAGGCTAGATCAAATCAGTCGCACTGCCTTTGCCTCGTTCACGCCCGCGAGCTTCCCGAAACGGAGAGGCAGGCAGTCAGTATACTGCACAAACTGAGCCATGAGTTGAAGAAGAAGGGAAAGTACGGAATCCACGTATTCGGCATGAGGCCCTTCCACTGCTCTACTACATATTGAGTTATAGGCCCTACTTCGGTATATCGACTTGACTTTCTTATCAAGAGTACACAGCCAAGCCTACTGCTCCACAATCAACCGGGCTGGTCGCGCGAAAGATAAGAAGTAAGGAGGAAACGGACTTCATTTCGAACTTTCACAGGGTCGATGGTAGGTAGTAAAAGTCCAAATACCATGGGCCTTACGAGAACGTAGCTAATACCCTGGCTACTCAACTCTTCAGAAGCTCTAGTTGTAGCCAGCGAGCAAGTAGAGATCCTACCACACTCGCACCACGCCTTCCCGCCACGAACAACGTTCCGCCCGTCTATAATAGCTTTAGCTAGGACCAGCCTTCTTCACTCTAGGCCGCTGTAGTATACATAGCAATCAAACAGATAAGGGGTAGGTAACAAGGGAACATCTTAGATAACAAGTTCAGACAAGACAAGGCATCTGGGGGTCTATGCGAGAGAGGACGGCATACTACAGCGGAGAGACACTACGCCGCAACCAAGCGACATATCTTTTTTTTTGAAAGAATTCTTGGTATTGGTATTCTGCTACTGACACAATATCTGCTCTTCCTCCTCCTCCTCCCTGCCATCCAATCCAATTCCCACACATCCTCCCAACCAGTCAAAACCTATGTACATCCCGCAAACCCTCCTCTTTCCACAGTCCAATGTGAGAGCTCGTTGTGTTGTTCCGAAAATCCGCCCACCTAGGGCTAATCGTATATCTAACCCTTTCGCAAGGAAACCAACAAGTAGAAGAAGAAGGAGAAGCGAAGAAGAGAGAAGGGCGCTCATATGTATTCGTGAAGACCACGCCCAGAACAGCCGGGAGAAACAACAAGAAACAGAAAAGTAAAAAGCAAGATGGCTGGGTATCCGCTACCATGAGGACGTTGAAGCTCAGGACGGCGGGGGCTGTCAGATTCGAACATCTCTTTGCGATGTGATCCGATCCGGTCCAGCGGAGTAAAAGGAAAAAAGGCGCAAGACAGCAGCGGCATGGAGAAGAACAGCTCGCTGGACTAGAAATTAAGGTATGCTCAATTGGGCTTCCCTCGACAGAACGGGCCTTGTGTTTCGTTCATTCGGTTCGAGGCGGAAGATGCAAAACAAAAAGGTTTTTTGTACACTTCGCATGGGTGAAAAGAACAGGGAGATGGGAAAAGATCGAGCTCCATCTCTTTGGAAAGAAAGCCTCGAGTACCGCTGGATGATCACAAAAACCATCCCTACATGGCGTTAGCGCCAGGGTATCTCGATTGATTCGATAGGCCGGGGCCGGGTCCCATCATCGTCGCAGGAGGCATGTTCATTGCGCCTCCTCTCCCTCTGCCGCCCATGGGGCCGCCGCGTCCTCGTCCGCGTCCCCGGCCTGCGCCTGGAATCGCGAAGTCGGGGTTTGCGGCGTTGGCTTCGAGGATCACGTCTTCTTGACGCATGGGTCTGCGTGGAGGGCCAGGTGCGAAGGGCGCAAATTGGCCGGCTGGGGCACCCATTTCCGGCCGCCAGTTAGGGTTGACGGGACGTTGCGAGACAGATGTGAAATGTGATGCTTCGCTTGCGGCGGGCGAGCGCGCGCCTTCTGGTAGGTCGTCGTAAGAACTGTTGCGCGGGAGGTTTGTGTCGCTCCCGTTGCCTGTGGAGAGGAAGTTGGGGTTCGGGGGAGCGAAACCACCTGGCATGAGGGAGCTCGGTAATGGCGGAGGTGCCTGGGCTTGTGAAGGCTCTGCGAACCTGGGATCCACATCTTCGTAGTAATCTGAACTGCGCTCTACCCTGTTAGGGCCACCAATGTGAGATATGTGAGCAGGCATTTCGACAGGTGAGTCTTGGATCGGCGATAGCCCGCGGCTACTGTTGTTCAATGTGTTGAGACTTTGGTCTGACGGGACCTGTTGCTGGTTCCATCCCGCTCGTACAGGCATGTATTGCTGTTGTTGTTGCGGCATAGGCGGCTGTTGTTGGTGTTGTAGAGGCTGCGGCCGTAACGCCGACTCACTGTCCAGGGTTAGCACATTGTAAAGAGGTAGGCTTGACGAAACTTACTCTGTAGAGTACTCGCTGGTCGGGCTCATGACGCCATCCGATGGCCGCCTCTGGGGCGCACCGGCGGGGAAGCCACCTTGCTGGAGAGCAAGCATGCCTGCAACATCACCGTCGCTTTCCCTCAAACCAAAGTTTGTTGGAGGCGTGCCTGTGCGGTTGTCCATTTCGATGGCTTGTCCAATTGGCAGCGGTGGCCCCTGACCAGGCGGTGGTCCTCTGCCATATGGTGACTGTTCACGGGGAGGTGGCCCTTGGTTGTAGAAGTTGCCGTTGTTGTATCCCGGAGGAGGCCCTCCTCGACCCATTGGCGGCTGGCCTTGCATTGGAGGTCCATTCGGAGGTCGTCCGCCTCGTCCACCACCGTTCCATCCCGGCGGCGGAGGTCCGCGCATACCTCCTCTTGGTGCGTAGCCTCCTCCTCTCGGGCCGCCATACTGTCCACCTCTTGGTGGGCCTCCTCGACCCCTCATCGGACCTCCTCTTCCACGTGGCGCGCCATTCATCATGGCGTATTGGTCGTTTGGCATGGGTGGCACGGGATTGCCATACTGATCCATGGGCTGTCGACGACCCGAGGGACCGCGGTTCGGTGGGTTCATGTTCTCCGAGCCGTTTCCACCGCTGCTAACGGTCTTGAGCGAAGGATTGCGCTGGTTCAAGGGCGTCATGTCGTCGGTCGGCGATGGCTTGGAATGGTCGAAGTAGGCTGCATTACCGTCCCTGCCTCCAGAGGTCATGGTCTCTCCGGACAGTGGAGGCGGTGACTCAGCCTTGGGAAATTCGGAAGCCACAGTCGCATTGGCGCGGTTCGCGTAGTAGGTCTGGCCGTTCATGTCATCGTTCTCGGCAATGCGCCTCTTACGCGCCTTGCGACTGACCAGTGTGCGCCTCATAGCGCACGTAACGATACCACTTGCGACGATAATGACGGTAGCACCTAGCACGATCCATCCTCCCCAGCCCACATGCGGCACGAACAGCAGGATGTCAACGAGGAAAGCGAGCAGCGTGACCAGCAGAGTCGGGAACGTGAATATGAGCAGAGCGAGGAGGTAGCGCGGCGAGTGGGCGGGCGAGTGGAAGTGGGCAGCGACGGAGAGACCGAAGCAAATCAGCGTCATGAGAGCTGCGACGGGGTGCACGATGAGAATGGAGGAAAGCGCATGGCGCTGGGCGGAGGGGAGCGAGAAGTCGGAGCTGTCTTCGCCTGCGAATAGTTTCTCTGTTTGAACAGTTAGCACCATGGCCGTCGTATGTGATACAGGGCGCCATACCAGTGTTGTACCCGATCATGGGCCCTTTGCAGCCTTGGTCGCCATTCTCGCAGTAGCCGAGGACGCCAAAGTGGACACCGCGGTAGGTAGCGAGGGGAATGCTCTTGATCAGAGGCGTCGAGAGGGTCGAGAGCAGCAGCAGCACAAAGGCGACGAAGAATAGTATCGATAAGGGGGTCGCAGGGCGCAACATGTTGGCGAAGAATAACGGAGGCTACCGCGTGGGATTCCGGCTCGCCAGAGACCGGCTCTCTCAAGTCGACGGCGTGGTGTTGGGGAGGGCGATCGGACGTGTGCGCGACGAAGGTGAAGGTGCAGACGGTCCGCAGTCTCGTAACAGTGGGCGCAGTCGTAAACGTGCCTAAGCGCACTCTTGCCCTGACGTGAAACGAGTGACGATCGAAGTTACACCAGTTATGCCTGTTAGGTCATTGATGCCTCGAAGGAGCTTGAGCGTGCGCGACGACGGCTGGACACGCGATGAGGCGCTCGAGGGGGCAGGCGCTGGCTGTTGGGGGTTGCGGGGAAGCGTGGTAGGCTTGGGACACGCCTGGAGGAGGTGGGCGGAGGGCTGGAAGGAGCGACGGTGCAGCAACAGGAAAGAGCGGACGCGCAGCCAATCAGCGGCGTGAATGGCGCGAGGTATAGCGAACGTTGGAACTATGCCGGCTAGTCGCTGCAGTAACTTGGTATTGACGCGGGACCTATCGAGCCGTTGACGTTGACCCAGACGTCTAAGCTGTCGCGCTGTGAATGAATGTAGCGTGTTGGACGACCCCCGGCGGCAGTATTTTCGCGGGTAGCCCCGTTGTCGCGCCCCTTGCCCTCGCAGCAGGCCCGTCTTACCTGCGACTTTGCTTTGTGTTCGGAGCATCAGTCGGAGTCGCACGCGTCCACGCTGCTCTCCCGCCCCAGTTTGGCAGGGATATCTATCGTCTCATTTCGCGTAGACGCACGGCCCATCATCCAGGCACTGAGAACACCGTTGCTCTGCTGCGTGCTTCAGACGAGACCGCTGAAACACAGACCCTTTCTTCTTCCTGGTCCTGAGGCAGCGCAGCGACTGTCAACACCAGCCATCGTGGTTGCCATCTGCTTCGACGACGTTGCGGGCCTCGCCTGGTAAATACACTGCAATGCGTTATCGCCTCGAAACAGGGCACGAAATAGCGCCCTCCTATCAACTGCAGCCAGATCCCGGAAAAGGATCAGGCCAGCGCCACCAACCTATATCACCTCACCTATCGCATTCCACGCGAGATGCTCTTTGTTTGAGCCTTCCCGCCTATATCTCCCACACTACAGATCCACTCGACCCGTTGCACAGCCCGCACGGCTCCACGCTGTCGCACGTCCATTGAACATTCAAAGCATTTCATGTTTGGGCAAGACTGAAGTGTTTATTTGCTTGATTCTCAGACCTCACATGGTATTCGTATGATATGCAGAGACTCCAGATCTGATCAACCTCCCCACAAGTGATCATGAACGCCTGAATTTTGGGATCGAGTCCTGCACCTATCTTCATGAACTCATGGGTACTTCATATCCTAACCTACAACTTCGCCAGCGTCACGCTTAGTGAGCAATGGCGTACGCCCTGCGGCGGTCACGCTCCTCAGCAATGGAAAGCTTGACACCCTTACCCTTGGGCAGAGAGATCCATGGCTTCTCCTTTCCGATGATGCTGAACGCAAGTTAGGAGTTGTTCTCGTTCTATGCGGATATCCAACTTACATGACGTTGGACTCACGAGTGGTGAACTCGTTGTCAACAGCGTCCTTCAAGTGGACAATGTTGAAGCCTCCGTCGTGGCGCTCACGGTGAGTGATGACACCGACACGACCCATGTTACGACCACCGGTAACCATGACAATGACACCAGTGTCGAACTTGATGAAGTCGGAGATCTTGCCAGTGGCGAGGTCGACCTTGACGGTGTCGTTGACCTTGATGGCTGGGTCGGGGTAGCGGATTCTACACAAAATTTTAGCAGCAATTCGGACATAGCCAGACCCTGGTCGTATGCCTGGTGAAAGAGGTTTCCCTCAGACACCTAGCCCAAACTGTGGTCCAACGGCTGATAGAGCGGGAACTTACGTTCGCGCATCGTGCGTAACCAAGTAGGGAATTCCGCCCTTGCCAAGCTGGACGCGCTTGACCTTGCCGAGCTTGTATTGTGCCTCCTCATCTGTTATCCTGTGGACGGTGAAGCGGCCCTTGGTGTCGTAGATCAGACGGAAGTTCTCGCCGGTCTTCTCGATGGAGATGACGTCCATCAATCCCGAGGGGAAGGTGGAGTCGGTGCGGACCTTGCCGTCAACCTTGACGAGGCGCTGCATGAGAATGGCGTTGACCTCGCGGGCGTTGAGCGCATACTTCAAGCGGTTGCGGAGGAAGATGATGAGGGGAAGGGAGTCGCGGAGCTTGTGAGGACCGGGGGAGGCCTTGGGAGCATAGGCACCTGGAAGATATCAGTTCTGAAGTCGCGATAGCCATTGCATCGATAATTGCGGGAGTCGAGCGTACCGGACAGCTTGTCCAGGAGCCAGTGCGAGGGCGCGCTGAGGCGCTTCTGGTGCTTGACGGGTCCACGGGCCATTGTGACGGTTCTGTGAGGTTAGTCGTTGAGATTGGAGGTCCTGTCGAAAGCGAAGTTCGAGAGACTGGAGTCCTCATTTTTCGTCTGCCACTAGCGTGTGCCGTAGCCGAGGACTAGCGCGCCAAGACCAATGCTGAAGTGCTCCGGTGCCCCATCTCAAGCGAGGGGAACTCAACATCTTAGAGCCCAGGCGCCTACTTTCACGTCAAATTTTCTGTTCGGTTTGTTTTATCATGGGATGAAAGATGCAAATTTGAAATCCTTGCGTCAATGTAGGATTCAGGGTGTGGCCATGCGCTACTCATCGCGGATCAGAACAACACCATGGAGTTTCTCACATCACGATCAACGAGCACTTAGTCACCAGACCGTCTCTAGACTCCGGATGTGTGCAATTGATTATTTTCTTGCATCTGAGTTGTATCCCGGTTCTCAACCCTAAGCATACCCCTTCAGCACCGCCGCCTCTGCGTTCAATATCGACGACCCCGCCGCTCCAATGACAGCTGCAACTAGTTAGCATTCGCCCAACCCCTCGCAATCGCAAGTCAAACTTACTGTTGTGGCTCAATGCAACGAACTTGAGATCGAAGATACCCGCCTCATCCTCTCTTATCCTACCCACGCTAACCGCGTACCCCCTATCCGTCTCCCTGTCCAGCCTTGGTTGTGGCCTGTCTGGCTCCTCCATAACCACAATCGCCTTCGCGGGCGCAGACGGGCAACCCAGCTTCTGTGCATCAGACACGTACTCGCGCATTGCCTGCTTGACCTCTTCCGCGCTCGGTGGCGGGCGACGTTGAAAGCGTAGCGACACACATGCAGTGTGGCCATCGAGTACTGGCACGCGGTTGCATGCTGCGGATACCTTCATGGGCTGATCCACGAATCCTGTGACGTCGTCGTTGACGCTACCCAGGATCTTCGATGCTTCCGTCTCAAGCTTATCTTCCTCGCCCGATATGAAAGGCACGACGTTGTCGATGATGTCCATGCTGCTGACACCGGGGTACCCAGCGCCCGACACGGCCTGCATTGTGACGACGGAGACTTGGTCGATGGGACCAAACTTGGCTTGTAGCGCTGCGAAGGGTATGACGAGACCGATGACTGCGCAGTTGGAGTTGCAGACGAGGAAACCCTTCTCCAGCTTGTGGTGTTGCCGTTGGTGCTTGATGACGTCGAGATGGGGGAGGTTTACAGTGGGTACGACGAGCGGCACGAGAGGGTCGCGGCGGTAGTTCTTTGCGTTGGAGAAGACGGCGAGTTCGGACTTGAGGAAGGCCATCTCTGTTATGTGTCAGTATTTGCAATCGCAACCTGGAGTGAACTGCGTACCAACGTCTCCAGCAACATCGCTGTCGAGACCAGAGAAGACCATGTCACAGTCCTTGAACTCTTCAGGTGTGCACTTCTTCACCACCAGCTCTCCAATGCGCTCCGAGAAGGGCAGCGCCTGCTTCCACTTGACCGCATCTTTGTACTTCTTGCCGGCTGATCGCTCGGAGGCTCCAACGGCGTGTAGCTCGAAGTGTGGGTGTAGCGCAAGAAGAAGGATAAAGCGCTGGCCGACGGAGCCAGTCGCGCCGAGCACACCTGTAACGGAGTCAGTCGGCTATTTCCAACCAGAGATGATCTACTTACCGCACTTCTTCTTAGGGAAGTTCTTGCTCTGAGATGTAAACTTTTCAGCGTCCATTGTGGTGGTGGTTGGTATTGCAAGATTGAGTCAATCGAGTTCACAAAGTTCTGGTCAGGTATGACGCGGGGGTGGGGTGGAAAACGCGACACCAGCCGATCACGGAGGTCTTGAACGCGCTCATTTGCCGACTGTCTTGCCCCGAACAATGCTTTTTCATTACCAGACCAGAACAACACTAAACGGTGAGGCGGTACGAAATCTATATATGCCCCTCGAAGATGCACCGCGTAATCAGGCGTCCCCTAAATGCATGTTCGTAGAAGAGCTCCAGACAACAGTAGATGCGCCATCTCGACATGCACTTCTACGCCTGAGCGTCCATGATCTTTCCCGGGTTCATCAGCCAGTACGGATCCAATGCGCCCTTGATGCTTCTCATCACGTTGATTGTATCGAGACCAAGTTCCTTCTGCAATGATTCCTTCTTGCCCAGCCCAATGCCGTGCTCACCGGTACATGTGCCGTCCATCTCCAGCGCACGGTCGACCATGTCATGAACGCACTTTTCGACAGCCGCTCGCTCTTTGGGATCTTTGCTGTTGTACATAATGCTTTCGTGGAAGTTGCCGTCTCCGATATGACCTAGGATGCTGGCGAAGAGGCCGAGGTCATCCATTTCCTTCTTGGAGATTTCTATCGTCAAGTTAGCGACTCGTCAAAACATTGTATTCGCTTAGCGTACCTATGATGTCTGGTAGCCTGGAGATAGGCACGGCGACGTCTGTTGACCAAACTTCGTCGCCCTCGCGACGGAGCGCCAGCATGCTCCATAGAGACTCCTTGCGCGCAGACCACAACGTCTTCTGCTCCTCGGCGCTGACGGCGAATTCGAAGTCCCCACTCTTGTGTTTCCTGGAAATGGATTTGACCAGCTCAATGTTCTCCTGTA